AAAAAAAAAAAAAAAAAAATTTGATAAAAAATTCGATAAAAAAAAAAAATAAATAATAATTTTATAAAGAAAGGGGGGGGGGGGGGAAGTATCATTGTGAGTGTTGAGTGGCTGTGAATGGGAGATTGTAGTGTTTATAGTATAGTGTTAATGTCTAATTCCTCGTTGAGTCCGCCTGGGGGACAATGTATCTAATGTAAATATCCAATAAGTTTCTTGTGAACAGAGTTTTTTGAAACGATCAGACTCGGAGAGATTGTTGTGTATGGATTCTAAGACCCATACTTGTAGGCCATCAGTGGATTTTTGGTGATATTCAAGGAAGTGGCGGGGGACGCTATGTTTGTCTTTACCATCTTCAATGAGACGTCTGTGCTCGCCAAACCTGGCGCGGAGGGGTCTGATGGTTCATCCCACATATAGGAGGCCGCAAGGGCAGGATATACAATAGATCACATGATCAGTGGAGCAGTTGTAAAATTCTTGAATGAATAGGCTTTTCCTTTTGTGGTGAAGTTTTTTTGTCCGTGTTTAACGAATTGGCAAGTTTTGCATAGCGCTTTGTTGCATCTATACATGCCGACAATGGGTATGAGGCAGATTGTGTTGAGTGTGTTGGTGGGTGGGTTGTATTTGCTGGGGGCAATCTTGTTTTTAAGGTTGATGGCTTTGCGGTAGGTGTATTTTGGTTTTTATTTTCTAAGATGTCTATTAAATGTGGATCCTGTAGTAGTATCGGCCAATGTCTATTGATGATAGACTCCATTTTGTGAAAGTTGTTGTGGAATTTGGTTATAAATCTGACCTGGTTGGGAGGCTGTGTGTTATTGTGTGTTTGGGGTCTACCCTTGTGGTAGAAGGAGTGGGCCTCATCTACTAGCTTGTGTGGGTAACCTTTGTCTAGGAATTTCTTTATTAGAATGTCACTCTGGAGATTGTAATCTGAATCTGTGGTGCAGTTTTGTCTGAGACGACAGAATTGTCCTTTAGGTATATTTTGGATCCATTTAGGGTGGTGGCAGCTGTTGAAGTGGAGGTATGAGTTGCCAGATACGGGTTTGAAGTGTTTTTTTGTTAATATTTGGAGATTGTCATGGTATAATTCGAGATCTAGGAATACAAGAGTATGTTTGTGGTGAGTGGAGGTGAAGGACAGTCCAAAAGGATTTGAATTGCAATGGGTTACGAACTGGTCTACGTGTGATATTGGTCCATCCCAGATGACGATAATGTCATCTATGTAACGGTCGTAAAAGATGATGTGGGCGCAAAGGGATTGTTGTGCCATATGTGTTTGTCCTCCCAGAAACTCATAGTCAAGTTGGCATATGAGGGTGCAAAGTTGGCTCCCATGGCTGTACCTTGAGTTTGTAAGTAGAAATCGTGGTTGAATGTGAAGTAATTGTGTTTGAGGCAAAATGAGGTGGCGTCTACTATAAAGGAAGATTGTTTGGGGTTGAGTGATGGATCCAAGGATAGATAATGCTGGATGGCGGTGATGCCTACATCATGGGGTATCGAGGAGTATAGGGAGCAGACATCTAACGAGACCCAACAATAGTCGGGTTCCCAGGAGTATGTTTGGAGTAATTCTAGCAAGTGTCCGCTGTCCCGGATATATGAGTGTTGAGCCTGTGCAAGGGGTTGTAGGAAGTGGTCGATATATTGGGAGAAACCGCTGGTAATGCTCCCTGTGGCCGCTACGATTGGTCTTCCTGGTGGATTATTTGGATTTTTGTGTACTTTGGGGAGAAAGTAAAAATACGGGGTGTTGTAGAAGTCTTTAGATAGAAAAGAGGCTTCCTGCTTGGTGATGACACCATCAAGTAAGGCTGTGTTCGTTAGTAGTAGTGCGTCCTGTTTTGAATTCGGGTAGTGGGTCTTTAGTTAATTTGGTATACGTGGATGTGTCTGAGAGGAGTCTGAGGGCTTCGTCTATGTAGTCAGTGGTATTAAGAAGTACAATGCCGCATAACATTATGCGCCTTTGCCTTTATCGGCGGGCTTGATAATAATGTCCTTATTGTTTGATAAAGTGGTAATGGATTTTTTTACAGTGTTTGGTAGATTAGAGGCGGAATGGTGCTGGTTGGGATTGCACAATTTGATGAATTCCGAGTAGACTACTCTATAAAAACTTTCCAGGTAGGGGCCCTTAGAATGTGTGGGATTGAATACTGATTTGGGTCTGAGCGTAGTGTGGGCCACAGGTGGGGGGTATAAAAGTTGTGAAGTGAGTGTAAAATCTAAAGGTGGGCCATCATCAGGGTGAGACTCAGCAAATAATTGTTCTAATATGTCTAAGGCGTCTGAGTCAGATGGGGGTTGAGGGGTTGATATTGTCTGTGTCAGGTGAAATGGCTGTAGGCTGCGTTTTTTTTGGATTGAATGTGAAAGAATCTTTTTAAGGTGAGATTGCGTATAAATTTATTTCAGGTCTTTGAATAGTGTGAATAAGTTGGGTGGGGAAGTTGGGGCAAAGTTTAGACCGTGATTGAGCAGAGAGATTTCAGTTTGTGATAGTTGATGGTTGGATAAGTTGAAGATTTTTACAGTTTGCGGTGTTTGTGTTTGGTGTGTGTTGCGGTGTTTATTTCGTCCCCCCCCTACAGCCTCTGTGTGTTTTCTTTTTCCTTTTTTTATCGAATTTTTTTAATCGAATTTTTATCGAATTTTTTTTTTTTTTTTTTAATCCAATTTTTAGTTTATTATTTATAACCTTTTGTTCATTATTTATATTTTATTCTATTTTTTACAATTTTTTACAATGTAATTTACTTTTTATAATGTCATCTGCATGTATTATTACCAATATGTTTATCATCTTGCAATCATGCTGTATTACCACTAAATATCTGCTCACTACTGTTACATAATTGATGTGCCAGTGCTGCAAGGTGAACATTTTACCCCACTAATCTCCCAGAACATAATTTTTTTTTTTTTTTTTTTTTTTCTTTCGTCTTCCGTTTTCTTATTTATTACATCCTCTCTTTTTTCCATTTGGTTTCCTTTTACCCCCCAGTTAACATCCATGACTTTACACTATTCACCTGACAGCAATGGTCAATCACTGGTTAATTGGTTAATTGATCAATTAGACTCACGTTCCCTATATATATTCACCCCTGTTCATCCACTTCCCCCCCTGCTTGAAAAAGGAGTGCACTTCCGCCTTCCACGGCCAGTGCATGCTCCGAAACGCGTCGCAGTGCACCCTGGGATCTGACGTCATCACGGCCACGCCCGCCGCTGTACGTTCCAGCGTGCGTTCCATCCGGCTTTGAGGGAGGACGTGCATGAAGGCTGGCCTCACCGCTGTTCCCCCTCCAGCCACCACGCTGTTCCAGCCGAGAGCTGACCTCCCCACATCGCAGAGAGATGACGGCTCTTCACCCGGGTTACCCCCCCACCGTTAACTATTGTTAACCACGGTTTTTATGCTTATGATTACTTCACACATGTGAGTGTTTCTACATTTAGACTTGAATTAAAAGACTTATTGCACTTAGAGGCGCTTCTCTCCTTTTTCTCATCTACAGAAGTTGCTACAGCTTATTTGGAAGCCTTGCCCTCAGTGCCACACGGAATCCTAGGCTCTTCATAGAGTAGCCACTAATACCACCATCACCCCATACTACCATTTCCCAGGACTTTGCAGTGTTTGCGCTGTTACAACCCTTCCTCATTTTTACAGGGATGACCAGAGACTGCGGACACAGTACAGGGATGACCAGAGACTGCGGACAGTACAGGGATGACCAGAGACTGCGGACAGTACAGGGATGACCAGAGACTGCGGACACAGTACAGGGATGACCAGAGACTGCGGACACAGTACAGGGATGACCAGAGACTGCGGACACAGTACAGGGATGACCAGAGACTGCGGACACAGTACAGGGATGACCAGAGACTGCGGACAGTACAGGGATGACCAGAGACTGCGGACAGTACAGGGATGACCAGAGACTGCGGACACAGTACAGGGATGACCAAAGACTGCAGACACAGTACAGGGATGACCAAAGACTGCAGACACAGTACAGGGATGACCAGAGACTGCGGACAGTACAGGGATGACCAGAGACTGCGGACACAGTACAGGGATGACCAGAGACTGCGGACACAGTACAGGAGATGACCAGAGACTGCGGACAGTACAGGGATGACCAGAGACTGCGGACACAGTACAGGAGATGACCAGAGACTGCGGACACAGTACAGGGATGACCAGAGACTGCGGACACAGTACAGGGATGACCAGAGACTGCGGACAGTACAGGGATGACCAGAGACTGCGGACAGTACAGGAGATGGCCAGAGACTGCGGACACAGTACAGGAGATGACCAGAGACTGCGGACACAGTACAGGAGATGACCAGAGACTGCGGACACAGTACAGGAGATGACCAGAGACTGCGGACACAGTACAGGAGATGACCAGAGACTGCGGACACAGTACAGGGGATGACCAGAGACTGCGGACAGTACAGGGATGACCAGAGACTGCGGACAGTACAGGGATGACCAGAGACTGCGGACACAGTACAGGGATGACCAGAGACTGCGGACACAGTACAGGGATGACCAGAGACTGCAGACACAGTACAGGGATGACCAGAGACTGCAGACACAGTACAGGGATGACCAGAGACTGCAGACACATTACAGGGATGACCAGAGACTGCAGACACAGTACAGGGATGACCAGAGACTGCAGACACAGTACAGGGATGACCAGAGACTGCAGACACAGTACAGGGATGACCAGAGACTGCAGACACAGTACAGGGATGACCAGAGACTGCAGACACAGTACAGGGATGACCAGAGACTGCAGACACAGTACAGGGATGACCAGAGACTGCAGACACAGTACAGGGATGACCAGAGACTGCGGACAGTACAGAGATGACCAGAGACTGCGGACACAGTACAGGGATGACCAGAGACTGCGGACACAGTACAGGAGATGACCAGAGACTGCGGACAGTACAGGAGATGACCAGAGACTGCGGACAGTACAGGGATGACCAGAGACTGCGGACACAGTACAGGGATGACCAGAGACTGCGGACAGTACAGGAGATGACCAGAGACTGCGGACACAGTACAGGGATGACCAGTGACTGCGGACAGTACAGGGATGACCAGAGACTGCGGAAAGTACAGGAGATGACCAGAGACTGCGGACAGTACAGGGATGACCAGAGACTGCGGACATAGTACAGGGATGACCAGTGACTGCGGACAGTACAGGGCTGACCAGAGACTGCGGACAGTACAGGGATGACCAGAGACTGCGGACACAGTACAGGGATGACCAGAGACTGCGGACACAGTACAGGGATGACCAGAGACTGCGGACAGTACAGGGATGACCAGAGACTGCGGACACAGTACAGGGATGACCAGAGACTGCGGACACAGTACAGGGATGACCAGAGACTGCGGACACAGTACAGGAGATGACCAGAGACTGCGTACACAGTACAGGGATGACCAGAGACTGCGGACACAGTACAGGAGATGACCAGAGACTGCGGACAGCACAGGGATGACCAGAGACTGCGGACACAGTACAGGGATGACCAGAGACTGCGGACAGCACAGGGATGACCAGAGACTGCGGACAGTACAGGAGATGACCAGAGACTGCGGACAGCACAGGGGATGACCAGAGACTGCGGACAGCACAGGGATGACCAGAGACTGCGGACAGCACAGGGATGACCAGAGACTGCGGACAGCACAGGGATGACCAGAAACTGCGGACAGTACAGAGATGACTGCTGACCTTTGGGGAGGGAGGGGGAGCGGGTACCTGAATTTGACAGGTACCCGCTCTTACTTCCGCAGAGTTTTTTTTTTATCTTACCTGTTCCTTTATCCAGCCGCGCGCTGTCTTCCCGGCTTCTGTAGTGTGGGCGCTCATCGGACAGCCGGATGCCCAGTGCGCATGCGCGAGAAGCGCTGCGCTTTGTGATTGGTCCGGCGGCTTCTGGGATCTGTCATGTGTCCCAGGTACCGCCTTACCATTCACAAAGAGCACTGCTCCTTGTGCATGCGCACTTGGGACCCGGCTGTCACGCACACTACAGCCGGGAAGACAGCGCGCCGCTGGATTCTCCTGGCGTGCCCACAGATAAGGCTCGGCGTGCCGGCTGTGGCACGCGTGCCACGGGTTCGCCATCACTGCTCTAGACTAACACCACCAACAAATAAAAGGCAAAATGTATATCAATCGAAAAAACAAGAGGCCGCTAAGAAGTAAAGAATGTATTACTAAAATCCCAAATAAGTACAATACCCTCCCGTATAAAAGCTAACTAAACCCCTTTCACCTAAGGGGGTGGTATTAATAATCACTGAAGAAACAATTGACATCAAACTCAATATTATATCAAAGGAGACAGCTTGATGAAGGGCCTTGATTTTATTCCCCCCTCTCCAGTGGGGGTGATATTTCTCTGTATCCCAAAATTTGAGACCAGATGGATCCTTGTCATGATATAATGCAAATTGCTTGCAAACACTGTGATTAGTAATACTCTGCACGTTCTCTTAACCTCCCTGGTGGTATGATTATGTCAGATTTTTGGTGCTGAAAGCGGTACCGTTATTTTGCATGGAAATATGTATTTTTTTTTATTGTAGGCTGTAATTTTTAGGAATAACTCACTGAAATGTGTCCGAACAAGAGTCTAGTAAACATTCCGGATATGATAAAACTTGAAACACGAAATCATAAATTATAATTTAATAAATAATCATAAAAAATAATATAATAATAATAAATTTAATTCAATAATATAATCCAAACAAAAACACTGAAATTTGAAATATAGCGCCAAGTTCGCACATCGCTGAGCAAAGTCACAGAATCGTTTTCAGTGTCTGATGACGAATTTCCCCACGAATCATCACTCAATTCTGCAAGTGGTTCTGATTTACTATCACTGTTCTCTAGCTGGTTTAAAACCGCTTTTGACCTAAAGGGACACTTTTTGGACGCCATGGACTTTTCTAAGTGTCCAGGCAGAAAGAACAGTCAAAATGCAGGCAGGGCACAGGACAAAGCAGTAGGGACAAAATGTATGCAAATTGGTTTGAAACAGCAATGTTTTACTATGTAATATTCGTTTAGAAAAAAATAAAATTTTTTAAATTTGCCGCCGGTTCTGGCGCCCGTACGTCCCGGCGGAACACGGAAGCCGGATGCCGGCATCGGCCGGAGGAGATGGCCGGGGATGCTGCAGGGGACACATCGCGATAGCAAAGCTCGGGGTTACCGCTCTTGGTACTGAAATTTTACCCCGAGCTACACTCGGGAATACCGCCAGGGAGGTTAAGCGTTTCCACAAAGGCCTTTTAGTTCTTCCAATATACGGAGTTCCGCAGGAATACTGAAGGGCGTGTACAACACCATCAGTTTTACATTTGATACACTCCTTAATTTGATACGGAGTCCGCGTCACATGTGAGGTAAAGCTATCTCTTTTTGTATTTAATCCCTGCGTGGCAACACAGGCATAACAGCTCTAACAGGGAAAGAAATTATTTTTGATATTTTAGAATAGGCCTATATTTGATGGAAATCTTTTCAATCTTCCTACGTTGGACACTAAAATCCAATATTATAGGTATTTGATAGTTTGGCTGTTCTTCTGTTCTTTTATCTTCTATTAATGTTTTCCTATCATATTCTGCAACCTCTCGAGTCTTCTGATTGTTAAAAGTCTCTTCATATACTTTCTGAATAAACTGATGTCCAATTGTTGCAGCCTGCTCTTCATAATCCATTCTCTCTGTAGTTTCTTATCAGAGAAATAAATTGACCCTTAGGTATATTGATTAGCCAATGCAAGTGATGGCAGCTATCAAAATGGATATACCCATTTTGATCAACTGTTTTAAAGTGCGTTCTAGTCACATATCTATTTCCCTCTACACTTATTTCCAGATCAAGAACATTAATTCTCTTACTGTCATAAACCCAGGCCAATTGGATATCTTTCTCATTACAATTCAGGGTATTAAGAAATGGTTATATGCTTTCCTTATTTTCTTCCCAGATAATCATAATCTCATCAATAAATCGCTTAAATAATCTTAACTATTTTGGTCTATTATGATAATCACCTCTTCTTCCCATTGAGACATGAATAAGTTAGCTAAACTAGGGGCAAATCTAGCCTCCATAGCTATCCCTTTGTTCTGTTTGAAATACTGATGATCATGCCAGAAATAATTGTCAGATAAAATTCCAGACACTTCAATAAATATTTCTTCTGTGTGCAATGAAGCCCACTCAGTTCTCTGATGGCCCAGTTTGCATCATCCAGTGCCTCTTTATGTCTTATAACAGTATATAGTGAGGATACATCCGCTGTGGCCAGCAGTATTGGTCACAATTTAGACTAGTGTATGATTTCCCTCCAGTAAAGTTTTTCGCTTGACTGCTCTGCAAGATATAGGAAGAAAAAAAAATCTAGTGATCATCATTCCAAATTGGCCCAGGTACACAAACATACATGGACTCCAGGCAGGCAAGCCTTGGCCACTGCCAAACAGGCCAGACCTCCTGTCACAGGACCCTTTTGCTCCAACCTGCTTCTTATTTGCTGGCTTTAATAGCATAGCTGTTGTAAACCAGGTTCTAAGGGATAGGGTATTCCAAACTCTGTCATTCCCACCTTGCTCAAGGTGATAAAATCCACCTTTTTTTAGCATCCATCCATCAGGTCTGCAGAGCATACTTTTAGCTAATATGAAAGCGGGCACATTGAGCTCCATGAATATTCTCTTCACATCCTGGCCATCCTTCAGTCAAGCGTGGACCATCATTTGGCCCTTAGCACTATAAAAGGGACATGTTTCTGCCTTTTTCATTTTATTACAGAAACCTTTGACTTTGCACTCTCATATCTAGACTTTTATATAAGATGCTGCTCTTGTCAATCCCCCACTTCAACCTCCTGTATTTTTTATAGAACGTGAATCTGGTACTTTCAGACCCAGACCCTCCTTCCTCCCCAAGATAGTCTCTTCCTTTCACTTCAGTGAGGACATTGTCCTTCCTTCCCAATGTCCTGCTCTGGGATCTCAGTCCACTGCCTGGATATCATTTGATTAGTTAGGGCCTATCTAGCTGCAACATATTTCTTAAGAAAGAGTCACGTTTTGTACTCCCTGAAGGCCATAAATAGGAACATCATACATCTTCTTCCATCATTGCTAGGTGACTCAGGCTGCTTATTTTCAGGGTTTATATCCTCAAGAAAGGGGTTTCTCTCTACCTTATTAGAGCCATTCCACAGGAATTTAGGTGTTTCCTGGGCTTTTCAGCATTAAGCATCTGTTTTGTAGGTTTGTAAGGTCTTCTGTTCATGCTTTTTTTAAAGGGTAGATGTTTAGGCCTCTGTTGATGTGAGCTTTCAGCTGCAACATGCCTAAAGCTATCATCTAAGTGTTTAGAGTAAAAATATAAATATAAGTTCCATGCTATGGTATATCAAAAAATAAATGTAGTGTAGCTAAATACACAATGATTACTCCCCTAGTGGGATAATCTCTGTATATGTTTTACGTTGGTGCGGCGCTTGCTGTGACATAATAAAAATAAAATTATGTCTACTAGCTCCTTAGAAAATATAAAGTGCCATCATATAATTGAAATCGTTCATGAACCTAAAATTCATATAACTGAAATAGTGCATGAACCTAAAATATCACCTCTAAACCTTATAAGTATCATAATCATACTTAAATACTGTATATCAATTCCTTTTTCCCCATTATAAGAGTTACTGTGTATAATATAAAAGACAAATCCGTTGGTGCAAAATAAAGTGACTGGTGCTAAGACTTCACATTCTTCGGTGTACAATGTGTGCAACACACCTCATGCTCCCCTCTTTCACCACACTTACCAGAATATGGCAACCCCTTTTATCATAAGTGGGTCTCGAGCGCTTTAAGATTAACTCTGTCACTGGTCCCAATGTCCCTGCTCTTTTGGAAGGCTTTTCTGCAGTTCTTTTCTATTATACATGAATGTATGGAAAGAGAGGAGCCCAGAGGCAGCCTCCAATACCGTAATTCAGTTTTATTTTCAACATAAACAGTTAAAAAGCCACTTATAATAATATAATGCTTTACTACATATAAGCCACATCGCATATGTTACTTTCTGTGATCACCTGCGTCCACATCTGCTCAGGTAATTACCTGGACTCCATTATATACCTTTCTAATACGGATTCTTCCTCAACTGCTCCACAAAATAGAGGAAGAGAAGAAAATGGTGATTCTTATTGCTCCAAACTGGCCCAGAAGAAACTGGTAAACAAACATACTCAAACTGCTAGGAGATGACCAATGTCTCCTCCAAACAGGCCAGACCTGCTGTCTCAAAGCCCCTTGTTTCAATCTGCTTCTCTGTCACTGGCTTTAACAGGGCTGTTGAAACCCAGGTCTTGATGGTCAGGAGTATATCTGACTCTGTCATTCCCACATTGCTCAAAG